CATGGAGGATCTGGGGACCCTTATGGCCCAATCCCTCTCCACTGTCTAATTCCTGCATGCTGACAGCGAGACCCAAGGGAACCAGCATCCCTCCTTCTGGGAGAGGGCAGGGAGCTGGTTTAAGGCCTGTGAGTTGAGCACAGAGGATGCTGTTCATGTAACAAGGGATACTGGGCCATCACTGCCACCTTGATTGGTAAATTTTCTATTTAGAAACTTTAGATACTACTGTGGTTTAAGGCTGGGCTCTGGACTCAGTGAGTCCAAAGGATACACATCCCTCTCCCCAGCAGCCCCATAGGCACTGGTCTGAATCAGAGCAGGAGCTGTTTGGAAGTTGCCAGCCCAGAGCAGGCTCTATGGATAAGGCAGCCAGCTGGTAGCCAGGACCCCTTGGTTCTGGCTCAATTCTGCTTTTTGCTCTCTAGGTGATTTGTGGTGAGTCTCTGCCTTTTTCTGGCCCCCAATTTTGTCACCTTCCAAGTAAGGATATGGAACCAAATAAAATGCATTTATAGGGATAAAAAGCAGAATAACCACAGAGGAGAAAAAAGCCAGTCAGACCTGGGTTCAGATCCTGACTTTGCCCCTTACTGCTCCTGTGTGACTTCAGGTAAGATACTGAACTCCTCAGTTTCTCAATCTGTAAATGACAACAGTGACACTCATTGTATTGTACAGATTCAACAAAGCAGCACATGGAAGATGAGCAGAGCACTTTTATTTTGGAGTCCAGTAAATGGTTAGGTATTTTTTCATTTCTGTAGCAGAGACTATATAAGGTGCCCACTGCAACCATTTCTCCTATCCAGAGTAATATTTTAAGCTGGGCACATTTCCAGCCTCCCTTGCAGCTAAGTTGTCACTAAGGACACATGAAAAGAAGGGATGGGTACAACTTCTACCTCACTCACTTGTAGCAAATTGCTTCCCTGGTTGTCCTCTCTTTTCCTTCCTACAAGCCAGGGCACGGATATGCCCGTGACACCTCTTTGACTACGCAGAGCAGGAGAACATGCTGGGGTTGGGGAGGGGTGGCAGAACAACAAATTGGAAGGAACCTGGATCCCTGTATTAAGAATAGGACTGAATGCATGTGGTTTGCTTCGGAGGGCTCAGAGCACTGCAGGTGAGTTGGGAGGTGACAAAGGGAAGAGAAGGCAGCCAATAAAGGCCAACTACCACAGTGGATGACCAGGGCTTAATTCCATGGGGAAGTTCTGAAAACCAGTGTAAAACTCAGCCTTCAGAGCTAGCCAAGCGTAAGGGAACTGGGCAATGTTTATCCCCACACCCATCAGTCTCAGGGTGGTGGAGAGGGGGGGATTAGTTCCCAGGCACTTCCCAGTCTTCTCTGTGTTGGTGGGTAGAGTGAATGTCAGCAGCCCGAAAGCAGCCCTCTGTCAAAGATGCAGGTGCTGGCATTGGAAGCCAAGCTGGTGGGCATGGGCCCGGTAAAGGGACCTGAGGGAATATGAGCCCAGCACCAGCAGCATCAGCTATGGTTCTTCAGAAAGAGAAATAAACTCCTGTGTTCTTCAAGTCACTATATATTGAGGATTCTTTTGCAGCATAACTTTTACCCTAATTTAATTTCTGAATGCTATGTATATGGGAAGTTTTGGTTTTATGTAATCTCTCCAAGCTCCTGGACTCCATGTGATACTCATGGAGGTTATGTCATGGTTGAGGAAACAAGGTTCATGCTAAGGAGCAGACGTGTCTCGACAGAGCATACATCACTTGGTATTTCTGGGGCTCAGGTACTACATGGTGTAGGCCCTCAGAGAAGGGACAGATGAGTGTGGACAGGCATAGTCAGAGAAGCTGAAACTTTACCTGCCAGAGACGACTTGGAGAGATGAGGTGGAGGGCTTCCTCACTGAGGCATGGGGTAGCTCCTCTGGCAGGTGTGGGGTAAGCAGGTACCTTGGCTCACGTGACTGTAGTGTGTGGTCTTGGGCTGGTAGATGTTGGATTTAGTTGCATTGTGCATTTAGAGGAGTGGGCTGCAGGGTGCCTTTTAGCTGAGAGTGACTTGGTAGAGGGGGCCCAGCTGCAGGGCACATGGCTATTGCTCCCTGTATTCTGAGGTGGGGAAGCTGGTGGCAGGTGCCCCCCATCCCACGCCTGATGCCACTGCTGTCCAGCTGGCGTGTCAGAGCTCACTGAGGCTGTGGCCTGCCCACAGTGAGGGAGCAGAGGTGAGGGTCCTGTAGTGCACTGGGTGACCAGCAGAGGCTGGGCACTCATGTGGGCAGCGTGTCCCACCATCTCAGCACACAGCAAGCCCTCAAACTGTCTTGGAAGGCAGAGCTGGGGGCCCCTTAGAGATCATCTATTCTAGCCTCTCATTTTGAGGATGATGGCACTGAGCCCAGAGAAGGGAATGAATTTCCAAGGCCAGCAGAGTAACCTGAATCCAGATTTCTTGACTTCCCAGGATGGGGGAATGCAGCTGACATAAAGATGGGGGTGCATGCCTCAAATCTGCTGCCAGCCACCTCTGAGCCATTTGCTCCACCTGTAAGACCCTTTTACTTATTCATGAATCTCAGAACTAGAAGAGAACTCAAGAGATGATCAGATCAGGTCCCTCAGTCTCCAGGCTTGTGTGCATCCTCAGCTATAGCAGCTGGCTTGAGGTCACCTTTCTCTGCCCTTCAGACACCAGAGCTCCTCTCTGCCACCTCTGTGTGTTCCACCACAGTGGTCTGCCAGTTCTCCCTGGTGTCTTACTGCAGTCATTCCTGTTTCACATTTGGTTTGATTTATTTTAACCTCTAGATACAGGTTGGCTTTGCTGCATTATGCATTATGACGGTGAGGAGTGGGTTGGAATCAGTGAATTCGCCCTCATTCTCTGTCCTATTTCTATGGGAAAGGGGGTGGAGGGAAGGCTCCAGCCCTCCACCCCCCACCCCCATGGATTGAGGACAAGTACATGAGAATGAGACTGTCTACCCAGACTCCCCAAGTCCTAGTCAACCCCAAGGCTCTGGAGGGAAGAGTGAATGCAGTGTCCTTCAGAGGGCAGTGGGCTATACAGCCTTGACCCAAACCCAGGCAAATGAAAATCGCCCTTTGCTGCTTTGTTACAAATCCCATCACCTCTCCTCCCTCCTCATATCTATAAATGTGGAACATTTTTTTCCCTGTTCTAGATTCTCTTTGCATTTCATTCGCTTTGGGAAAATATGAGCATCTTTCTTTGTTCTCTTTGAGCAGTTTGTGTCTGGAATGGAGAGAAAGAGAAGAACGGGTGTAGCCTTCGTCCCTCAAGGGAGAAGGGGAATCTCTCTGTAGCCAGTGCTAAGTGCCTATGCCCCATGCGGGTGGGGAGGCCTCTGGGGGGCGCCCTGTCGATTTGGGGAAATCAGACTACAAGTCAAGGTGCTTATGGCCAATACAAGATATAAGATGGACTAAACTGTGTGTGTGTGTATGGGGGGGGCATCCTGAATATACACATAGCAAGAAGGGAAAGATCAGTGTGGACTCTAGTAGTTAGAGAGGGCATTATTGGAACAAGAAGTCTCCAATGGGAGGCTGACAGATAGGATTTGGGCAAGATGAGAAGAGAAGCAGAAACGGGAAGCGCCAGTGTTCAGGGGGAAAGGGGAAGAAAGCAGGGGCCCCATGCTTGAAGGAGTAGGAACAAGGCTGGAGAGTTAGGGTAATTTCAGGGGTAGATGGACAAGGGCTGTGGGAGGGGGCAAACTGGCAAAGAACCAGGTAGGGCAGGGTGAAGGAGGGACGTTTATCCAAAGCCAAGTCCAGACAGGAGGCCAGCTAGTCAGCACCAGACCTCTGATGACCTGGGAAGGTTTCATGGGACAGTGGAACATCCGTGTCCATTTTCCAAGAGCTGTTCGGGGATGGTGGGTGGGGATGCTCAGTGAGTGGAGCAGAAAGAGGGAGGAGGGGCAGTTCTTGTGGAGTGTGATGTATCTCAAACCCCAGGAGGCCTGGAGATGTCCTCACAAATCCCGCAGACCTTCTACACAGCACATCCATGAAGAACAGGGCTAGATGGCAGGGGCAGGGAGGGAGGCTTGTCGTGTCATCTCTCCCCCTGCCCCCACCCTAGGAATCCATGGGATGAACGAGCCAGCCTTGCCACACTCCGGGGGAGTGTCCTTGTCAAAGCGATGGCAGCAGCCTCACCTGAAAGTAACAATTGTGAAAGCACTTTGTGCAGAAATCTTCTGTCTCCTGCAGTTTCATTCTGAAACAGAATTACCTCTTGCCCACGGGATGGAATTCTCCATTCCTTCCCATAGCATTTGAAGCTCTCAGTAACTTGGCCCTGACCTAATATCCTATTCTCATTTCTCATCATTGTTCTGTATCATCATTGTTGTCATCATCACATGAGTAATTAAAATTAACTAGCTTTTATTAAGCATCTATATGTGCCAGGAGTTCTTCTAGGCATTAAAAATGTAATAACATTTCATCTTTTCCACAACCATCTGGGTAGAAACTATTATTCTGTCCATCTCACAGAAGAGGCAGATGAGGCACAAAGAAATGACTTGACCTAAGGTCTCTCCACCAGCATGTGGCTGGACAGTGGAGGCATCAGACACTGAACTTCTTGTGTTCCATGCTTGCCCGTGCCCAGCAGCCTTTCCCCAGGCTGTCCCCCCCGGCCTGGACTGCCTCCCCACCCCTCAGCTTCTCTGCACCCGATGGACAGCCACACAAGACCTACCTGCAAGACCTAGCTTAAAAGTCACCTCTGTGGAAACTCTTCTCCAGCTCCCTGGGGAGCAACTTTCTCTAGGCCTCCCCAGCACACCCTGATTATGATGTCAATCAAATCATGCTTCTGGTTTTTGTTCATGTGCCTGTTATTTCCCTCAAAGGAAGAGACTACTCTTTTTAAAAATGTTTGCATTTTTAAGGAAACGTTTAATTGACATACAGAGGAACTAAAGGAAATACATTTTGTTCAACTTCATGCCTTTCCTCTTCCTCCCCTCCCACCCCCCCAGGTCTGGTATGGAGCAGAGGTGCAATTAATATTCATTAAATGGAGATGTCTTTCTGGCCCCACTCAGCCTTTTTCCGGACCACCCACTTCCCGACTCTTTGCTGTGTGGGAGAATCCAGACATCTTGTACAGCTGCAGCTCAGTGTGTCCCATTTTGGCTGGAATTCAAGGAGCAACTATAGACAAATAAGTATTATTACAACTGCATCAATCAACATCTCTCTCCTCAAATGCTCTCACGAGGAAACAAGAATGATCTCAGTAAGACGCTGTCTTGTTTAAGCCCAAGTGTCTTTTTTGGTGCCTAGGGAGTGTGTGATCCTTGGAGGGACCCCACCATTGACCGTCTATAACAGAGTCTGTATAGTCTGAGGCTGCACGCCCCTAGAGGCAGACAGTCCTGAATTCAAATCCAGACTGTCACTTCTTCTCTCTGTGAACTTGGACAAGGGTCTTAACTTCACTGAATTTCAATGTTCTCATAGGTCACATGGAATCAATAATACTTCTCGGGGGTGTTGTTGCAATGATTAAATGAAATAGCACATTTAAAGTGTCAAAAGATTTCCCAGGCAATTAATATATAAAAACTTCCCTTTCCTCTTACTTCTCAATTAATTGTTGCGTTCTCTCCTCTGTATTGAGGGTATGGTTTGTAATCACAAAGCTTTGTATCAGCAGCTAGATGGTAAATCCCAACCCTACCTACAGTTTGAAGCCTCTTGCAGAGCACAGAGGAACCAGTATAGAGAAGCTTTCCTGGAGAATCGAGGCTTGGTCTGGGCACAGGAGGAAGAATCACATTTAACATCAGATTTTCAGATCTTTTGTGGGGCACTAAGGTATCCTGGAGAAAAGGAAAACTGGGAATTAGAAGCCCCCAACCACAAAGCTCCCCTTGCTTTGTGACACCACCTTGGGAACCATCCATGATTTGTCTGCAGGGGAAGTTGCCTGTGTGATGGAGGCCTGGATGCGGGGCTTGGGGACTGCCATGCATGGGCAGGGCAGAACTTTGCTGCTGTAGTAAGAAGAACTTCTTGTCCAGGGCAACTGGCTCACTTGGCAAACTGTTTAGAAAGAAAGCTTATGAAACTTCAGACTCAAGTGACCAGGTGCCTCCATTTGCGTGGAGCTTAGGTATGACAGAATTTGGCGTTTTTGGCCAGTCCATTCAATTCAGTTTAATAAAATATCCTGATACCCTCTTTAGGTCAGATGTAGTGGTAGCAGTGGGGATCCAGGGAAGGACAAGATAAATTGCCACTCTTGCAGTGCTCACTGTTTCTAGAATGATGTATGGGGAGGTATGAACTAGAAACATGGGGTGCTAACTTCCGCTTAGGACCAAAGGGAGGCCTGACTTGAGACTTGAAGGATGAGGGATTTGTTGCTATTATGTTGTGTCAGGTGAGTATTTTCACTTTAACAGCCAAGAAAGTGTCATGTAATGGTTAAGGACAGTCAGACATACCTGGGTTCAATCCCAACTCTGTCACTTATTAGCTGTGTTACTGTAGGAAAGTCACTGAATTTTTCTGAGCCTCAGTTTCCTTTTCTGTATAATAGGAATAGTGATAAAAAACTTCTACTTGAAATGGTTTTTTGTGAAGATTAAGAGAGACAATGCATATAGCACACTTACACAGTGCCTGTGTAATCATCTAGTAGCTGCTGGTGGTGACAGCATAATTAATTTCCTCTAAGAGGCCTGGGAATGGAGGAGTTATCATCTCAGAGTGAATATACACTTGGTGCTTTATGATCCTCGTCTCTTGGCCTTCTCACATTTTCTACAAAGCTCATAAATTCCCTCCCCACTCTGCCATCAGGAAAGACTGGTTCTACCAGACCTCAATTCAGTTCTTCACTCATCCTGGTGCCCTTCCTCTTCCAGGGCTGGTAGGAAATAGGTTAACAGAGAGAAAACACAAGCACAGCCACATTTCATTGCTAGCTTGGACTTTGGCTTCAAATTCCAATGAAACCACAGTGAGTTGGATTGGACCCTTCTCATGATCAAGTCAATCCTTCATCCCATAGAGAAATTAAAGACCGAAACCTCCTATTCTTCAGGGTTATTTTTTTTTTTAATTTATTAATTATACCTTCAAGTTTTTTTTAAACAAATGATCTTTTTTTTTTTTTTCCTCTGGCACGCGGGCCTCTCACTGTTGTGGCGTCTCCCGTTGCAGAGCACAGGCTCCGGACGCGCAGGCTCAGCGGCCATGGCTCACGGGCCCCGCTGCTCCGCGGCATGTGGGATCTTCCCGGACCGGGGCACGAACCCGTGTCCCCTGCATCGGCAGGCGTACTCTCAACCATCTGCGCCACCAGGGAAGCCCCAGGGTTTGTTTTGTTTTGTTTTGTTTTTTTAATTCTCCTCAGTCTCAGCCATGAGAGACCTCACTCTGGGGTGAGTGAGTTCCTTATTTAGCAGGTGCTGTGTTCAAATTATCTCACTATGAGTATAGATTTTTCAATTTCCCCATAGTTTTCTATGAGAAAACTTGTTTCCCCCTGATTTTTCTGTCAGGTTGTACTTTATATATTTTGAAGCTATGTTATTGGGTGTGTACAAGTTCATGGTTACATTAACTTCTTGCTGGATTTTTTTTTTTTTTTTTTTTTTTTTTTATGTGGGGCGCGGGCCTCTTTTTTTTGTGGCCTCTCCCGTTGCGGAGCACAGGCTCCGGACGCACAGGCTCAGCGGCCATGGCTCACGGGCCCAGCCGCTCCGCGGCATGTGGGATCTTCCCAGACCGGGGCACGAACCCGTGTCCCCTGCATCGGCAGGCGGACTCTCAACCACTGCGCCACCAGGGAAGCCCCCTTGCTGGATTTTTTAATCATAGAGCGTCCATCCTTATCCCTTTCATGGTTTTCAGCATAAATGCCATATTTCTCTACACTTTCACTTTCATTCTTTTAAAATTTTGTTTCAGGTATGTCTTTTATAAACTACATATAGCTAGATTTAAGTCCAATCTGATAACCCCCAACTTTTAATAAGTGGGTTTAAGCCATTTCCATTTATTAAGATGACTGTTAAATTGGTTTTATTTCTGCAGTCTTATTTTATATTTCCTACTTTACATGCTTTTCCTTTTTCCCCCTCTTTTACTGCCTTTGGTTTGATTGTCATTGTTTTCTTTGTTCTCCCCTTCTTCCTTCTTCTGTTAATATGTATTCTCAGATTTGGTGAGGTTGTTGGCTACCTTTCTGTGATGCTGTTTGTGTGTGTGTGAGTTTTTGGTTTTTTTCTCTCTGTGCTCATCACTCTTTAGTTGGCGTGTGTCTGTGTATGTGTGTATGTGCTGCTTTTATTCAGCTCCCTGGGCCCCCAGTTCATATCCAGACCTTATGTTTGTCTGTGTCTGTGTGAAGTTTCATTCTGTATGGATATTGCAAATTTAAGTGACTGAGTTAGCAGATCACAAGTCCTGGTTGCCAGAGTGTCCCATGCCTGTCCAGACCCATCTCAGATAAGCAGTTTAGGATGGGCCACAGCCCCAGACAGGAGAACAGCTTTCCTTAGCTCAGATTCCGGTCTGGGAGCCTGACTTTGGTCTCCTACCTGCATGAGGAGTTCACTGACCCTCCTAGGCTTCAGGAGTTGAACTTGGTTCTTGCTTCAGGTCTGAAAGTACAGTAGGTCTGCAACTTCTCTGTGTACCTTTAAAACAGGTCCTGGTCTAGGGCTCTGTGTCCTAAGGGGTCTTAGTTCAGACTGATGACTAGATAGATGTAAAATGACCCTTCCCCAGGCTGACCCTGTCATAATTGTGAAAGAGGCAGAGTTAGTCTTTGTTGCATTCTCTTCCTTATCTTTCTTTCATCGCTCCTCTCCCATCTTTCCCTCTCCTCCCACTACTTCCATCTTGACCTGGACTCTTCTGGTCTGAAAAACCTGTCTCCTCATCTGAGGGTCTTGAGCTTTACCACCCCTTATCCTCTCTGGCACATTTGTGTTGTAAAGAAGGAATCACCAAGGGTGGCATTTCAGGAACAGGTAAAGATGGAGTTTTGGATGATGCCCTCTATGTTTTCCTGTAAATCAGAGGGTGTGAGGTTGCATCTGGCAAGGACCACACTTTTTTCTCCTGAGTCCCCCTCAAACCCCACTGAGTCCAGGCCTCTGACATCTGTGGATGGTGGCTCTGATAACCCCACTCCATTGTGAATATCTTCTCAGGAAGGTTTAAATAAACAATGATTTCATAGGATGTTAGTCAGAACTAAGAGGTAAAACCAAAGTGATCTCTTCTTTCATTTGCCTTCATGTGTCCTATGGAAAGGTCCTCAGGAGGTCAGTTCTGATGGCCAGTGAAGTTGTGCCATCACTTCCCACCTGAGGGTGGAAGACAGCCCCCCTGGGGACTTGGCCAAACTGGACAGAAGGCAGCATGTAAGAAAATTTTCTACTGCCCATTCCATGTCCCGTTGATCCTCACCTCCCAAAGTGTCCAGTCACCACTGTAGAGCTCACAGTTCTCATTCCCTGCCACTGGTGCCCTGGCCTGCCAGGTGATGAAGCTTCTGTTTCATTCTAAATAGAGCAGAGGATGTTGAAAATCTTCCATGGCTTCTGGCAGGTGAAGGATCAAAGTGGTGCTTGGCAGCCACAGGCACAATCAAAAAGGTTAAGATCAAAGGGCATGGGCTCCATTGGAAAGTGAACTCTCCTGTTCCTCATTACAGTCCTCACCAAGGCTCCTATCGTCCTCTGCCGCAAGGAACAAGGATGAGGAATTTGGGCTGCGGCTGGCTGCTGAAGCCACGTGCTGACAGACAATCCCGGAACAGCTGCAATGTCATTGTAAGCCTTGAAATTAAAATAAAATCCATTGATTTATAAGAGGAAAACAGGGTCAACACTAGTGGGGTCAGAAGAACCAATTCCGAAAGCCCTTGGGTTGGCCTAAATCCTACATATAAAATGGGTGGTGGAAGTGTTTGCCATGGAAACCATCAGAGGGAAGCTGAGGGAATCCAGGTCTTGGCAGGTGATTGCAGCCGTTGTTGCTGGCACACAGCACACCAGGGGAAATAACTGAGGCCTCAGTAAATAGGAAATCTGGAGGGGCCAGAGCCTAGGCTCAATGTATTTTGTAAGGGGAAGGCTTCCTCACTGAGGATGGGGAATCTGCTTTCCAAACTGTATGGTCAGCAACTTTGTGTATTTTGTGTCTGTAGGAGTTTATTTTAGCTCTGTGGTGAAGCTTTTTTTTTTCTTTTTTAACAAAACTTTGAATAGGGTGCCCACAAGGTATTTGCTTGCGGCTTTATTTCCCTCCCTGCCTGGGTATGGAGAGGTGAGCAGCACTCTTCCCCTGACTCAAGCAAACCCCTTCCTCTCTTTGTGCCTCAATTTCCCCATCACACAATGAGGATGTGAGATTAAATGAGCACTTCCCAGATGCACTTTTTAGAGAAGTGTTTGAACAAAACTTGGGTGAGGTATTGGGCGGATGGGATTTAAGTGTCCTAGTACTAAGATGACTGTGTGCAAGTTAAATTCAAGTTGGCGTGCAAACTGCCTCGGCTTTTGGCTGCAGAGTGAGGGCAAGCTTGACTCCTGTTCCTCACCCCAAATCTGCACAACTTGGCTTGCTTCTTCCCCCCTGGATGTTCTCCAAGGTTCTTCCCAGCTCTGACAGGGAGAGCGCTGCTGTAGGCTATGTGTCCTCAGCCCTCAGAGGTAGCTGTGGCAATTGCAATTTCATTTTTCCTGGAGGACAAGTTCCCCTGGACTATTGCAGACCGCTGCACAGGCTTTATTATGGAATGGCGCTGGGCTCCTTCTTTCAGAGTGAAAGCCTCCTTGTCCATCTGAGGAAACGTTCTTATTCCTTGAGAGCAAAGCCTTGTCCCTCCCAATGTGCTTCGTATCCGCCTTTTCTCTCTTGATCAATGTGAGTGAGTATTAATCTCACTTAATTCCCTGCAGCTGGCCTTACTTTGCATGGCTGTTTGGGAATAAGGCTCTTTTTTTTATTTTTTAAATAGATCTTTATTGGAGTATAATTGCTTCACAATACTGTGTTAGTTTCTGTTGTGCACCAAAGCGAATCAGCCATGTGCATACATGTGTCCCCATATCCCCTCCCTCTTGCGCCTCCCTCCCACCCTCCCTATCCCACCCCTCTGGGTGGTCACAAAGCACCGAGCTGATCTCCCTGTGCTATGCTGCTGCTTCCCACTAGCTATTTTACATTCGGTAGTGTATATATGTTGATGCTGTTCTCACTTCTCCCCAGCTTCCCCCTCCCACCCTGTGTCCTCAAGTCCATTCTCTATGTCTGCATCTTTATTCCTGCCCTGCAACTAGGTGCATCAGTACCATTTTTTTTTTTGATTCCATATATATGCGTTAGCATACAGTATTTGTTTTTCTCTTTCTGACCTACTTCACTCTGTATGACAGACTCTAGGTCCATCCACCTCACTACAAATAACTCAATATCGTTTCTTTTTATGGCTGAGTAGTATTCCACTGTATATATGTGCTACATCTTCTTTATCCATTCATCTGTCAATGGACATTTAGGTTGGTAATAAGGTTATTTTTTCCCCCTTTTCTTTCTTTTTAAGCAAACAGATTTTCTTTTGAGTTCTGGATGAATGTCATTCCAAGTTTTTGGTGGGAAGCAGCTCTCTCTAAAACATTCTCCTGGAGCAGGGCATTAGAGCAGTAAATAGGAAAGAAGCCATTTCCTGTGGTTGGAGAAATGAGTCTGGTTGGAGGCTTCTGTGTTGACAGGAAAGGTTATAGGGACGCAGGGTGTCTGTGTTTCAGGTCTGGATCCATGCTTACTTGCTGTGTGACCTTGGAAAATCCCCTTATCCTCTCTGGGCCACATTCTTGCCATCTGTGCAATCAGGAGTTTGGATTTGATTAATGATTTGCAATACTTAAGAATAATTTGGAATTCTCTCTTAAATTTAAATCTGTAGAAACCCAATATGAATCATGTGAAATCGCTATAGGCTATATCATGTGGTTTGGTTCAGGCTTTCTCAGCCTCCACACTATTGACCTTGGGGGAGGATAATTGTGTGAGGCTGTCTTGCAGGTTGGATAGCAGCATCCCTGGCCTCTACTCACCGGATGCCAGTAGCACTCCTCAAGTTGTGACCACCAAAAACCTCTTCAGATATTTTCACATGTCCCCTGGGGAGAGGGGCAGAATTGCCCCTGGTTGAGACCCACTGCTTTAATCTAATAAAACAATTAAAAAGTGAGAGTCTCTGTTGAAGGGGAATGAGAGGGAGTGTGACATAGATACATTCTCTGTGGCCCCAGAGGCTCTTCTGACACACCAGTGTTTCAGGAGACACAGTTTAAAAACTTACAGACTCAGAGTCCTGATTGTCTCTGAGCTCAAAACCACTATGTGAGTCCAGGGTCCCCTTTCCAAGTCAGATTTTTAATTGGAAAGGCAGAGGAGGGGGCTAGTCAGCAACTTTCTCAGTGCTCCCAGCTCCCATTTCATAAGGATGTGTAGCAGTACAAGCTGCTTTTTCTAGGCATCCTCATTTGGACACCTTCTCCAGGAAACCTTCCATCATAATGCCAACGAAAGAACATACTCTCAACTCCTGTATCTGTTCTGAAAAGGACCTGTCTATTCTGTTCCACCTAACTGAGCTGTCTTTTCCCTACAACAGGCTCAGGCGCTCAGGCTCTTTGAGATGCTGGCGTCTGGACCTAGGGCAGGTACTTGAGTATGAGGATCTTCAGAAAGGAAGGCCAAGCCTGTTCTGTGCTTGACCAGCCTTGGGGCTTGGCAGGAAGTAAATCTGGTGTATTTGGATCCACACTGAGTCATATGAGGTGCCTCCAAGGCCCTCACCACAGAACCTCCGTCTCAGCCTTCATCTGGTTCTGTCACACCGGTTATGGGACCTTGGTCAAACCTCTACTTCCTCATTTACAAAATGCAGCCATTAAGATGTCCTTATAGGATGGCTGAGAAGAGGAAATTAGATTACCTACTTAAGTACCTACACAGTGCCAGGTGCACAGTGTTCTCTTGGAACGTGGTTATGAGTGTGACGATTTCAATGTTGGCACCCCGCCCCCAGTCTCTTTGCTCAGACCCTCTTCCCAGGAAGCCCCCAGCCTCTCCCATGGTGGTGGAGACCTGGCTAGACTGGGGCAGGGGCTCCTGGGCCCTGGGTACCCCCCAAGGACATATCTCATTATGAGGGTAAAACCTTTCCTCCATAATTAGAGATGAGGCTTCAGAGAACTTCTCACTGAATTTCAATTTGCTGGTCTATTGAAACAACCTCCTGGGGTTATACATTCATTCCACTGATTTTTTTTTTTTTGAGTGTTTACCATGAGCCGTTATACTTTATTTGGAGGCTTCTTCCTTTATTCTCAAGTGTTATTTGCCATTATTTTGCTTCAATTATGTCTTTCCCCAAATAAAAATAACCATTTTTTTCTGATTATAAAAATACTACCTGCTCATTACAAATAAAGTTTCAAGCAATACAGAAAAGTATGAATAAAAACTACTCCAATTCCTGTTCTGAAGGTCTACCCACTTTCAACATCTTGTGGCCCACCTTTCAGAGTTCCTGGATGTATCTACACATGATTTTACATGCATGCACTCAGGAAAGATCCACTATTTGCTTTTACATTTTTTATTGACGTATAACCTATAACATGTATGTGGAAAAGTGCACAAATCCTAAGTATACAAATCAAACTTTGACAAATTTTTGCTCATGCAACCACATCACACAGATCAAAATATAGAGCATCCCTAGCACCCCAAAGCCTTGCAGTCATTGCCCATCTCACCAAGGCAACCACTATTCTGACTTCTGCCACCGTAGATTGATTAGCTTGACTGTATTTGAACTTTACATCATGGGACTACTGCAGCGTGTAATCTTTTGTGTCTGACTTTTTAAGTTTGACATTGGGAGAGATTTATTTCATGGCATATAGTAGCAGTTCATTCTTTTTATTGCTGTATGGTATTCCATTGTATGGCTAGACCACATTTATTTATCCTACTAATACATTTATTTATTCTACTGATGTCAGAATTTTGAGTTGATTTCAGCTTTTTACTTTTACAAATAATGCTGCTATGCACAGTAAATTAACTTTCTAAAGCCTAATGGTAAAGACACATTATCATCTGTAAGTACCTCTTAAACCAAAAGGAAACATGGAGGTAACTACCCCATGCTGGGTCTTGATTCCCCTGTTGTACATTGAGAGGCTCAGAGGAAATGCTCTGTTAGGATCCTTCCATCAGGGAAATGAGAGGATTCTGGGAGCGCATCGCTACATCCAAGACCTGCCTGGTCCCTCTTCAGTTTAAGGCAGATGTATTAGTCACGGTTCTCCAAAGAAACAGAAACAATAGGATAGATATAGAGAGATATATAAGAGGAGAGTAATTGTAAGAATTGGTTCACATGGTTATGGAGGACAAGAAGTCCCAAGATCTTCTGTCTGCTGGTGGTGTAATTCAGTCTGGGTCTGAAGGTCTGAGAACCAGGGGAGCTGATGGCATAAGTCCCAGTTCCAGTCCAAAGGCCAGAAGCTCAGATGTCTGAGGGCAAGAGAAAATGGATGTCTTAGCTCATACAAAAAGTAAATTTGACCTTTCTCCACTTCTAAGATGCCCACCCACACTGGTGAGGGTGATCATCTCTACTTAGTCTACCGATGCATATGCTAATCTCTTCCAGAAACACCCTCACAGACACACCCAGAAATAATGTCTTACCAGCTTATCCGGGTATCCTTTAGCCCAGTCAAGCTGACACGTAAAATTAATCATCACAGCTGGCTTCCATAGGACACATCCCTTCAGTTTGAGTGTTGATGGACATCTCCTAAGAAAGACAAAGCAAACCTTCATCTTGGACCCCCTCTAAGACCCTGAGTCACCTAAAGGGTCCCAGGACCATTTCTTCCCCTTCCCTGAAAACTCCTGCCCCCCCCAGCCTTGGAGGTGTCTTGGCCTTTGGTCAGAATAAAGAAGAGATCACTTCCTCCATGTCCCACTTCCTGCTGGTTCTCCCCTCCCCTGCTTCCAAGCAAAGTGCTTTGTTTCCCACAGAGGACAGCAGGGAGTAGTCTGTGGCAGGTAGATGCTCTCGGCATGGGCTTCAGACAAGCAGAACACTTAGCAGTCCCCTGGAGACACAAGCTGGAGAAGAGCAGAATGAGAGCTCTTTGCACATGAGTGAGCAGGCCGGACCTTACACAGGGATGTGGGAATGCTCCCGTGACCCCAACCCACAGAAAACCCACCTCTGTGAATCCATCCCTTGGGATGGGTACCACCCACCCTGGGCAGGCAGATTAGGAATTGAAACACAAGCTTTCTAATAGAGTTTTACTTTCAAATGCTGGCTCTGCCATTCAGCATCCAGGACCTTGGGCAAGATAATAACTTTTTGAAACCACAGTTTTGTCAGATTTAAAATGAAGATAAACCCTATCTCCCAGGGTTGTCGTGAGTATTAAATGAGACAATGCATGCCACCCTTTTGGTCCACAGTGCTTGCATATTGTAAGGTTGGCACCCTGGATCTGCATGGAGAACAGTGGTCAGCAGTCAGGAACCTGGGTTCTGTTCTCAGCCTACCCCCTTTAATCCTGTGTGGCCCCATTGCTCTGTTGAGAAGGTGGGCTTTGGTCATCTCTAGATCCCTTCTAGTTGTAATTCTCTTGGAATCTGCGCAGCCATAGTCATTGCCTCCAAAACCAAATTGCAATGTAGAATAGGGGGTGAAACCCAGGCT